ATTTGGCAAACTTATTTTTAAGCTACCATAGGAACAGTCAACCAGATGCATCTCTGCTGAACTGATAGGAGACGAGAGGAGTCATCTTTCAACAAAAGGACACTTCAATCACTTCCATCCTAACAGGAATTAACTTAAAATTCTGTGCATGTGTATGATGTAAACCTTTTCAAAAGCACACCATTAATGAACCTGGGATATGAATCAGTATCATCTCTGCTATTTTTCTAGACTTTTCTAGAATCAGTTTAACCACAATTTCATTGATCAATTTAGGACACCTAACATTTCTATCACAATAACATCTCTCCCTCTAACAGAATGAAATCACTCTTACTTGCTAAATCAATTTGATCCCCGTGTTCCCAAAAGGTAGATTTTGCTATTAATATTTTGAAAGTCACACAATAAAATGAATAAGATTTAATTCTGTTTTGTGCAGAAAAAACTAAATTGTGTCTAGAGAATGGGAAATATACTGTATAGCATCTCTGATCTGCCCATAAATAAGATAAACCACTCATGAGTGTAAGCCGACAAAGAGTCCAATAAAAGAACATTAAATTACATTTCTTCATAGAGTGCAATATGTTTTATTACATAACAATTATCTCCAATAACATATGTATGAGTATGTACTATAATAAAGCTATTTCATATTTGCTCTGTATGGAAAAACATAGGACAGCAAGGTTGTGCAGTGTTTAGCATTGCTGCTTCTCAGCACTGAGGCCCTGGGTTAAATTCCAGGCCTGGACTGCTATCTGTGTGGAGTTTGTATGTTCTCCCCACATTTGCATGGATTTCCTCTAGATGCTCCAGTTTCCTCCCAGTCCAAAGACATACTAATTTGTTAGGTGGCTTCTGGAAAAACTGACCCTGGTGCGAGTATGACTGTCTGTGTTGCCTTGCAATGGATTGGCATCCAGTCCTGTGTGTACAGTATCCCGCTTTGCACCTACTGCTTGCTGGGATAGGCTCCGGGTGCCCTGCTACCCTGTACTGGATGAGGCAGCTAGAAAATGGATGGGCTGATAGAAAAACATGTCTATGTTCACTGTGTATCTATTTCATCAAAGAGAACCCCAAAAGGTTTCAGAAAGAAATGCATCCAGAAAACAATTTAAAGTCTGATTATGTGGCTAAAGAGGGCAAAAGAATGACGTGGTTCTGAAAGACAGTGCCAAAGAATGCTCTTGGATGACTGTCTTTCTCTTTCTATATCAGTTTTACAAGGGGGAAAGGTTTAATATTTTTAAATAATTATATTCTAAAAGCAGAATACCAATAGCACATTATTCAAGACTCACAACATACCCTGTATAAATCACCTTGGCAGCTTTTATGTGGAAAGTCCTTATATTGAACCTCAATGATGCATACACTGTGATTTATAATTTGTAGTATATTTTCAAATGTAAAATACCTTGCATAGCCAATTTATCTTTTCTGAAGTCTTCCATCAAGTCACCTTTCATACAGTACCCTTCTGTCAACTACCTGTATTTTACTGCATGACAGAAGAATGAAACACATATTTAATTAAAGCATTTCATTCAGTGAAAATTCCCACCACACCACTTTGAGAACAAACCTACAATCTGTCATATTTAGTTATTAGAAGTTATAAAATCTCAAAATTAGCATTTAATACTTAATCTCTGTCCACCTTTTAAATGCCTTTAGTTAAGAAGCTCAAATAATATATTTTAAATCTGAATGAATTAGAACAATTTTAATTTTGGTACTGGTATGGTTGTAGTGCATTAAAAATGCTCGTAGAAGTAGTTTTTGTTTTAGATCCAGCATGCAAGCAAGAAGACAATACAAAATGAAAACATATTATTGCTTCTTTTTCCAATAGTTTTGATAATATCTTTGTCATGTTTTTTCATTTCCAATAAATAACGCTGCCTCAGAAATGTCTTTTTTTCCTAATTAATACTAGGTAATTGCATTTATATGGCACTTTTCATCTTCCCAATGAGTTTTGTACATGGATATAGAGGGAGTCATTTCACCCACCACTGATGTACAGCACCTATCTGGGTTTGCCACTACATAGGAGATCAGATGAAGCAAGAAATTGCTTCACCAACTTAATTAATGGGAACCTCTAGACAGACCAGAGTGGAATTTAACCAGGCACCAGAGTTAACACCTTTGCTCTTGCACACAGCATGGGATGACGAAAAGGCCAAGGGTTTGGTTCCAAGCATTATTTAAAAATATGACACCTTCAACTATTTAATCTCCCCATTACCACATACAGTATAAGCACTGGTTTTGGAAATTCTAGTTCAGAAACCAGACCAAGCTCCATAGTCCAGCAACACCACTTGCTTAAGCTACTGTATTTGTTCTGTAAGTCTCCTTTTCCAGTACTGACCAGGCTCACTTTTGTCTTTTTTATAAGGTACTTTAAGACTCTAAGAGAAAGAAAGTGGTAAATAATTGCAAGGAATAATATTAATAAATCTTATAACTAGTTTTGCCTTATTACCTTTTGAATAATATTACAATATTAGCAGAAAAGATGTTCAAAAAACAATATGTACTGTAATTAACAGAGGTCTCTGCACATACAGTCATTAGCAAACCGAAGCAGATGAATACTAAATGTATATGAATGTAGGTAAAATGGATACCTACAGATCATTACTGTGGAGAACTCAACCACAAGTAAATTGAAACCATCAAGCTCTTCACAGCATCACTCACTGTCCGCTCTTGGCAATTTGCTTGAATCCAAAAAGAAAGTGGTAACTCATTGGGTCGCCTTCACCTATTATTCCAGCAAAATTTGTTCTAATGTCAGCTCTAATACTCTGAAAGATCCTGCATGCAATGTAGTTCTGCGTGCCATAAATTACATTCTGGCAAAGAATCAGCTTCAGAATTGTTTAATTAAGCATGGCAAAAGATGAGCATTACTCTTTTCTTACAAGAGCTTGGCAACTATCCTCATTTCCTAAATGAACAGCACTAATCTAGAACTGAAACAAAAACAAACATAAATAATTATACATAATTGTAAACTACTGCGTTAAATTCCATTAACCATCCCCACTTCTGGAAATGTGGTTATCCAAATACTGTGTTTTTTTATCTCCAGTTCACTGTACTTGCAAAGTCAGCAATGTGTTAATGAAATTTACTTCAACAGTGTAAGACTGATTTACCCAGGTAAAAAGATCACAGGCAGCACTGGATGTTATATTTCTGCATTCCAGACAGATCTGGGTTTTTGCTAAGAAAAGCATGTCTGGTATGTAACTTATTTATCCACACTAAGCAGGTAGGGATATATACAATGAATACTTCAGATACAGATTAGGACAGATTGGTAGTGAGCTGGTAAAAATACACTGCATCACAGCCTTATGCATCCGTTTTGAACATTCAGAACAAGTAAATATGTATCATAAATCACTCAGTACAAATAAGGTCAAGGTGAGATTCAAGGTTCGACTGACCCATGTCTATGTGAACAACACTGGTCTGTACTCATCAGTAAATTCTGTTTGATAAAAAATTGTTCTGTAGCTACCAAAATCAGGAACTCTTCTGAAGCTAAAAGCTGAACATAAAGCCTAGAATGTCAGCAATAGCTCATCAAAGTACTTAAACTGAAATCTCAGAGTGACTGGATGTCAAAATCTCAGTGCTCTCTGTCTGCTTTCTGCAGTTGTATCTATCTGTCAAGAAAAGTCTTCTCTTTAGAGAATCTTAATCTAAATCTAAAGACACAAAATAGCTACATACAACTAAACGAACAAACTATAATACTTTAAAACAGCCTAGGCTGCAAAAATGAAAAGTCTTTATTGTGGCAGCCAATACATTCTGAAAAAATGTCAAGGATATTATCAGTCACTGTGCATAATAGTTTCTGGCACTATACTGAAACTTCCCCCCACTAAGCGAAAGATGATTTTTAATGATTCATGTTATTTACCTTGACAAAAAATATAAGACAGGAATATACAATATTAAGATCATTCTTCTAAACTCTGTCTAGAGTTGACATTTTAAGAAAGTGGGCCATTGAATCTTCTGACCAAAAGAGGTTAGCTCCATTTGCTGTAATGTGCCAGAGGTGTTTCATAGTTTCATTCAGCTGCAGAAAAGCCTTTGATATTCTTTCTTGTAAATAGGTATGCATTTATGGCACATCATCCTTTGGGAATTATAAAGGCCACTTTCACATAACTCTTTGGTGCATGCCTCTGTTAGCTGAAGCAAAATAAGTCAAATTACACTAATGCAATCATAATTTCTTTCCAAACGAGTAGCTTTACAGACCGTTCCTAAACTTAATCTGTGTTTCAAGTTTTAAATTTGATTAAAAAAACAAAAACATAAGAACAGTAGAGAAAATAATCTATTTTAATTATGATAAGAAAAAAAATTCTCCATAAGTGGTTCATATTGTAGCATACTACTATCTCTGTTAGTCTGACACATTTATTGAGTTGTACTTGAGATCTGTTTTTCAGTTAGGTGAAACCATCCAAACCTCCCTTCAACCTAAACCTCTAAAGCCCTAAAATAGGGCACTCTATAAGAAAAGAAAATCGTAAAGGACTCCCCTGTGCAAACAGGTAACCTTTATCTATGGTAACAGAGCAGAAGCAAAACTTTTCACCTCGCTTTCTGAATGTCAATCTGAGAGCAAAATCTAAACATTATTAATACAGCAACATTGCTACTGTACTCTAAAGATCAGTTAAGACTGCTACTTGTCTTACTGTATATTCCTGTCCAATATTTAATCAAGCTGCTTTTAAGTTAAAAAGAATGTTGTACTGTTTACTCTTATACTACTAGCCAATGAAAAAAACACGCCGAATAGCTAATGGATTTCAAAAACTATTTTTAGTTAACACGGGCTTTGCCCCGTATTAATTGTCTTCTCTTGACAGTATGTCATTGGAAGTGTTACAAGCAAGCGAGAGACTAGCCCATGCACCATGCATGTCCTGTTCTGTGGGCCTAACCTGTGTGAAGCTGAATCTTTCCAATGACTCCCTCCACCAGGCCCAGGCAGATGGGGTTCCAAGCCAGCAGCAGGTCTGTTGCTGAAAGACAGAGGCAGAAACCCATTATTACAATGATTATCACCAGGTATCTGCTTGAAAACAAAGCCAAGAGAGACATCCACATTTTCAGTAACATTCAAAAATCAGATTTTTTTTCATCCTCAAAAGAACTGGAAGAGTGTGAAGGACACTGTGAATTTTCCCTTGTCCTCTGGGCTTCTCCACTACTGCAGTGTGCTGCGAGATGAAATATCACACCAGTCATATAACCAGGTTGTATAAGGCCTCTTTGCAAGAAAAGAACACTTGAAAAGGTTCTGGTACCATTAATCTACAAGCACCCAACATTCTTTCACTGTCTTTCATCTATTATGCAAGTTGCATTGAACAAAGCTATATTTAAAATAAACTGCACGGCACAGAAGACAATTCAGTCAACAGAGTCATAATACAAGAAGTCGGTATCATCTTCTGGGTTCTGCGCTCCCTGAGAATCATTTGTTTTGAAGACAATAAAAATAACACCCTAATAAACTTCATTAGTGTAAAAACTCCACTTATAAAAGCTCTACTTTTAAGCATGTAGGACAAATGATTATTGCTCATGAGAAATAACAGTGCTTTACTACTAGTTATTCCTTCTCCCATTTGTTATTTCCAAATCACTGCTGCATCACTGCAGGATCTAATTGGTAAAGAAGCCAAGGGGGCTGAAAGTTCATTACAGCCTTCTGTCCGCATAAAAAATGCGACACATCAAGGAATACCGGTAACAGAACAAGACTAAGCCAGCAAAAAAAAAACAGCACTAGAAGTTCAAAATATTCTATAAAAAAGTGGAAGCATTATATTCAAATATGAATGATAATGTTTCACAAGAACAAACATAATTTCCTCCACAGGCCTGGTAGGTAGTGCAACAAAAATTGTTCTTTCTAATTGGCCAGCACTGCCGTAGTCTGAGACCCAAACCGCAAGTAACATTGTTACAGAACCTAGAGCCCTTGAGACTGCACTGACTGTGGACAGACAGAAGCAGACAGCATCTCCATTCGAAGAAGGGGCCATAAAAAATTCATTACTGAATTACTGCTGAGCAAAACATATGCGTGAAGGAGAAAATAAATAAATGTGCTGCTATAACAACCTCCATGTGCCAAGAAGGCTTGAAAAAGAAAACAGAGTGGGAGAAATCTTCGGGGTGTCTGCAAGCAGAGCAGCTCCCACATCACTATCGATATTGATTGGCTGCCCTTCCGCAGGGCTACAAGGACAACATCTCATTACAGGAAGATGAACTGTCCTCTCCTGTACAATGGTAATAAGAGCTGCTTCCTTTGTATAGCTCTTCAGGTCAGAGGCACCTCACCAGGGAACGGGCAAGAGGAGAAGGATTAGTCAGTAATGAGAAACTAAGGAAGAAATCTGCTTAGGACACCACCAAGGCACATAGAGAACAGGCAGTGTAAATATTATTTGCGCCACAGTATTAATATGAATTAATATTTGTTTAAAAAAAAAACTTTGGCACCATTCACTAAAATTCATCTGCCAAAACAAAAGATTTGAATTTTAAAGTGGAAGAAGCTCTTTGATGCACTACAAGACAACCATAAAGACATGTGCCATAAAGACAAGTTCAGAAGCATCTGCTGGAAAGAAAAATGCATGGCAATGCCTTCAAGTGGGATGAAAAGACCACACAGATGTGGATGATGATATGCAGGTGTCAGCTGCTAATCGTGAGGCACGCCTTAAATCCTGTGCTACATGGCAGTGATGGAAAACAGGTTCTATGAGCTGAGATCCTTCTTACAAAAGGATGCCTTTCGGCACAAGTGAAGTTTTTAGAGGCGCTCCTTGCTAACAGAGAAATTAAAATCGCCAAAGGAAAGAGAAAGAAAAACGATTCAGAGCACACATGACACTGATACCAGAAACGGCAGGACTAGACAAAGCTTACGAGGTTTGTCAACTTAAGAAATGTTCACTAGACTCACTAATGTCTTGGTCTTCTGAACCTGTCATTTTCATATTTTCTTGTTGCCTGTAAAGTCTTAACAGGTTCTGACAATTCAAAGCAACACAAAGCAGGATGTTTTTGAGGCAATTTCCCTTATGTCCTTCAAGAAAAGATGCATTTCTTGTACTCCATCTCATAGTACTGTATGGATAGTAAAATCACATTTTACACTATTTCTTCTCCAAATAACAGTTCTCTCTCCCCAATTGTTCCTCAATCCATGTTCCCTCTTTTCTGGTTTGAAAAGTGTTATTTCTTAAATCCACACCTTACCTTAAAGAGCTGCGTTAATTATTGCACCTGAAGCATGTTGCTACTGTATGCTAATGATATGGCAATGATTCCTGTAACACGCTCAAATGAGAATTTTTTAATTCAGTGAAACTTAGTGTGGACTTTAAGGTTCTGCTGGTCATATACTGTATGAGGCACTCAGTGTTCTTATTTCATGAATCTATTGAAAGAGTGAAGTCCAACCCTTCATATGAGATCTGAGTCAGGCCTTCGTATTCTGTGAAGGTTAGATTTACTAGTTATGTATTTGTCCGACACTTTTATCCAGAGCAAATTACATTTGAGAATGAATTGTTTTTCTGGTATTCATAATAGATTAGATTATAAAATATTCAAGTAACAATTTCTAATAGAGAATGCAATAGATTCAACAGGTGATCTACTGTAGATTAGAGAATGACTGTAATGGACAAAACAGATAAACTTTCAATATTGTAGAAATAACATGATATTTATAATAGGTATATAGTTCTGAATCCTCATCATTCTTAGCAATTCAAAGGGTGTTAGGGTATTTGTAGCCAATCCGGTGTAATCTATCTAGTTTCATTATAAAAAGTAAGTTACAGTTAGTCAGAGATCTAGTCATACACAGTATTTTACTCTAGAACAAAAATCTGAATGTAAACCTAAAACTCCAACTAAGATGGGCAACATAAACCAAATCCAAGTAAAGATAAACAACAAAAAAAGAAATCTTGTTGGTTTTCAGAAAAAAATGTAAGTACAAACATCTCTGCTGAGTTATAATGCCATGTGAGATAGCAGAACAGTAACTGCCAAGTGCTTGAGTAAGCTACTTAAGCTGCTTTATAAGCAAACTCCTATTTCAATAATAGCTCTGACATTGTGAACAACTGAAATATTAAAAGGCAAATTTATTAAATTACTTATTGCATTTCCTGGACTTATGCACACAAATCTTTTTCTTTTAACCTTACAATTTAATTATCAAGAAACAGGCAAATAATTATTGTGAAGCTCTTTTTCATAAGAATCTGCAAGGGTGGAATTCTCAGATAACACAATAAGGGCTATTTGATAAACTAAACATTTGGCAAAACAGTATGTTAAATTATAAGATTTTTATAGTAAGATGTTTATTAAGCTGTATTATTAGGTAAGTATGCTGAAATTCATTTTTATATTTTCATTTTGAAATACAAGAATGGCAAGATAAGTGAACATTTAACATACAGTAAAAAAGTGTGTGTTTTTTTTTTACAGTGTAGGTATACACAGGCTAGACAAAAATTTTTACTCTCATGCAGCATATGGTCCCCATAAGTCTTCTTGATGATCAGGTTTTCAGAAAGATTTCCAATGTTATTTTTACAGGAACATTCTGAAACAGTTGAATATTCTAAGCAGTAACAACAGTTGCAGAATCCTACAGAACACAATCGGATATATACAAAATTAGGAAGTGAAAGATAAACCCCCCCTAATTTAAGAGTTTTCACAAGAAGAAAGGCAGGAACATTCACCTTTAATTGACATTGCTCAAAGTCAGTCTTTCAACATCGAAATAGCTTCATATGTGATTAATATATTCTTGTTCCCCCATCTCCCAGGCAACAAATACTGTGCAGTCAATTACCATACTCATTTAGGAATTAAACTGTGAAGACTCTAATCACTGCCTGGTCACTTGTCAAAGGCAGGAGGAGAGTATAAACAATACAAAAAGTGATGCAACAACAGGTTGGGTATATTTCATCAACAAAGCCATTTGACAACAAACATGTTGATAGGTCATAACCCCAATCATAAAAGCCATCTGCTTTCGCATGTGACCTGACTTTAAAAAACCTTAACCTTAAAGTGAAATTTTATTATGTATGTTTTTTTTCCCTGATTTGCAGTAGATGCTCACATTGCTTTAATGTAAAAAAAAACATTCCCGAGTCATGGATTTCTAATGGTATAAGCTGCAAGTCCCCCTCAATTGTCTTTACTGGGTTGGCTCAATACTTTCAGAGGGCAATGCATTTCAGTTTAGCCAGTCAGCTCTCTCGGGCTTGCACACACAATGGCTAAGAAAGCTGCTTGTCCTTACTTCCTGTCAGAGCCTCACATTAAATCTTGATGCGAGTCTTTAAACAATGAAGCAAGCGAGAAAGGCGAATGAAAACCATTCCAACCGGATTCCACTGAAAACTGGCAGGTAAGGCTACAGTTAGTGTAAGTAAATACAGTCAGGAAGCAAAAGATTTCATAGAAAATAGACTAACACACACCACATTGTGACTAAAGGAGCATTTATTATTTCACTCAGTTTGAAATGGAACCAGAAAGCTTAAGCATAGCAAGTAAAAAACATGTGAACCATCCAACAAAAATGTACAGGAAGTATAGAACAGTGCCCAGAACAATAAAACTAATCCCGTACTACTAGACAACAATGACAGGCGTTTACAAATCACAATGCAAGTATAACATACAGGAAAATAGTTTTATACAAGCCCAGACATTGAATGTCATGTACAGTATCACTCTAGATACATATCTGGAATGATACAGTGCATGACATCTAATTCAAGTCAAAATAAGCATATATTCCATTGCAGAATTATCTGTCATCTTTTTTTGGAAATATGATCTCTAACATTTTAGATAATACATCTTTAATAATTAAAAAAATGTTTCCTTGGAGGCTACTATTTTTTTGCAGTGGTGTTGAACTACAGCACCACACCCTGAACAACCCAAGTCAAATTTG